CTTCATCCATTAGCTCAGTTGGAGAGGCAGAATTTGGGCGTTTGTAGTCAGACGACTTCCAGGAGGCACGGGGATCACAGCCGTACAGGAAGACATCCTTTTGACGCGAATGTCCATGACAGTCTATGTAAATCTGACAAAGGCAAGTAAGCCCAATAGAGACAGTTTGCACACTCGGCACTTATAGTTGAGGTTCTGACCAAATAAGCAAATCACCAGGTAAGAAGCGCCAGTAATTAGTAATTTCCTATAGTTGAGCTGAAATGAATCACATAAAACATCCGAGGTCCCATCGGTGCCACAGTGCAGTTAAGCCAAACAACGCCACTTAAAAGTTAAAGATGCCAAGTGAGCAAGTCGACCGCTCTCTATAGTAGTCCGTCCAATCGGAATAGAATTTAGCATTTTTCCCGCAACACCGCACATGACAATGTGTTCAAAAGGGAGTCAATTAAAACGCCTTTTCTGAATACCCAGACTCGTACCTCTTCATTGTTCGAGCGGTCTGCCCTCTCTTACGACATTTTGAGTCCCCAAAGAAGAAAACTTAGTAGCTAACGAACGAAGCTGTGTAAGAACACTGTTCAGAAGAATCTAAACTCCTAGCAGCGCGTGAGTCCCGATATCCCCGTGGCCAGTTTCTGCGGAAAGGCTATTCGAATGCGTTCATAAGCCACGTCTCCATGTTCGCTCCCGTAGGGCACAACCGAAAACATCACTCCTGATATGGCATGCGCGGCCATGTAACAAAGACGCGTCAGAAGCGATCGAGCGCATTGCTGTGGGACTAGGTGTAGGAATTGCACACCAGCCACAAGCTACTAAGCGCGGTGTGGTCGTCAAAATAAAAAACCAACTAAATCCCAGACAGCAGTGGATGGCATTCCGTGCCAAAACTGTCCACGAAATTCCGCAGGACAGATTGGAGGTATACTCGGTTCGCGCATACACTAACATAAGCGGGCTATGAGAAAGGGTGACAGACGATCACAAGTGGTTGCCCACACCTACGAGACGGGTCAGGAGCTTAACTTCGCAGCCGTGAAGGTAATCGTACACGCCAAAAGCAAGGCAAGCTGCGAACTGATTGAAGTCTGCACCTCTAATAAAAAGTTAGTAAATCAATATATCGATCTAGCGCCGGCGTACAGAGCCCTGCGTAATTACTTCCAATCACAGGTGTTTGATTGGTCCCTGCCCCCGATAACTTTTGAATATTTTTGTTGCCGATCTTATTTCGGCAGATGGACCCCGCTAAGAATTCGAAAGCCCGGATAAATGAAGCCATAATTTCGGCAATCGAAGAGGGCTCTTAGTCTTTACTTAAATGTCCACCTGAATGGGAACATTCGCCTAAATTCGTGGATCATGGTCGGTCCTTCAAGTGATTCACAGTTATTTGGATAAAAGAATCCATTGCCAATGAAAAAACCTTACGAAGATAATTCGAATCAATTAAAAAGAGGTGTTTGGTTGGGGCACACTCTTGGTTGATCAGGTCAGGTGCTTGTTGCTCCTGTTGTAAGCCTGGCTTGGCAGCGTAATTGCTCGAGAGACCGGAGGCAGTCCAGCAGGAGGATTTCCGGATCTGTTGTCAGGGTTTCGGGACCCCCAGCAGCTCAAAGTCTGCTGTAGTAGGATCGAGGCAGTAGCAACAAGTCCAGTAAGCGAATTCAAAATCTCTGGCACATGATACCAGATTACTCGTACGCATTAATTTGAATTTTGGCTCCTCTCCGGCTATATAGACAGGCGGAAAATACCTGGCACAGTTGCGTTGGGGATGCATTCAGTGCAATTACGAATACTTTGAGGACAGGACAGTGCTATCGCCGTTTGTCGGCACGAAAAGCCTTGACAAACAATGTCTCCTTTTGTGCATCAATTTATAGAATCAGAGATGACGTGGATGGTTCCCTAATAGACACATTTGCATTCGGAAATTGCACCTGTTTTTGTTGGCCAACGAAAGCAAAACAGTCACATTCAGCTTCCACATTACTTTCAACTGCAACCCACATCGAGAGCTGCAAATAAATACCAAAAATCTCATTGTAACGCATACAACCCGGTGGTGAGTCCATCTGTTCGCTGATGAGTCATCGAGCCATGAGTCATAAAGCATTTTTAACTAGTGCGCTCATTGGAAGAATCCTTTATCAGGCTTCCCTTTATAACACATACTACAGCTGTTGAGAATAAAATACGAGAAAAGGAGAAGTCTAGTGGAGCACTGGCACAGTATTGCTCTGAACTTACAAACTCGGAAGGGAGTTCACTGTCAGAGGTAGTAACATCAGCAACAAAAAGGCAGTAATCATAGGGAGTGTGAAGCACGGCTGGAGGTGACTGCGCAGGGCTCTGTACGCCGGCGTCAAATCGGCACATCGATTGACTGATTGATTGAGTTCCCATCCCTGGACTAGGATTCTATCTATCCTCGACTAGTCTAAGTACAGGCATTGGTTTGTATCTCGACGTCTGCGAAGAGGAAGTCATGGTCCCCTTACTAAACTCGAAGCTTTACTGAACTCGGCTTCAGGCACGACAACAGATCGACCATCGCAAACGAGACGACCCTCAAGTGTCTCACAATATGTGCCAAGCACCGACGACTTGCACATAAATTTGTTAACTATGAGGCAGACTTTCAATGCGTCTACCTCACCCTCCCCTTCCTTACAACCACCATATGAATACCTGCCGATTCTGACGGTGTCTACCGCGTGCTTCAGTGCGCTGAAGGCAAGCGCGGCGACTCGGGCGCGAGTTAGCGATAGCAGACTTGCACGGCATCTACCACGCTCCATTTTCCCTCACCCACCCATGCCCGCTGTCATGAAAGAGTCAAGCGTACCGGAGGCGGGGTCTGGCGCAGGTGGCAGGCAAGTCAAAATACGCATTTAAACGTATACCACCATCACAGGCTCCTTGGTCCACAGCAAACACCGGACCAGGGTTTTAATACGATAGCAACAAAAAATATAAACAAAGAAAGGATAGTCAATACAGAGCATCGTAGAAACTACCAGGACACAGCAGTAGTCAAAGGAACTTTCAAAAAAGGCCACTCAACATGCGTAGAATTACGTACGAAGGGTGTGTTACCGGCCTCGGCGAGGAGGTTGATGAGGCACTTTGTGTGGTAGATGGTTGGATGGAGCGTGGACGAAGGATTTATCCACTGGCGGTTCAGGTCCCTCGCAGCCAGGGAGCATCGATGACTTGGCAAATAAAGAACGAGGATCAGTATTAAACATTTGCCTCCGAGGCAAAGGAGCAGCCTACGTGTATTGTGATAAGACTCGTCGACTTTGAATAACTGCCTTCTTATTTCGTAGTAGTAAGCATGTTGTCTTACTACTTTGTGCGCACCACAAACGTTCGACATAATGCTTTCACATATT